GGACCTTTTAATGCTTCTTTAAGTTTTCTATTAAAATCTATTACAAGTAAATCTGCATAATCTTTAGCTTTATCATCTAAATAAGGTTCTAATTTTTTTTGAACAATTTCATACCATTCAATATCAGGTAATTCAGTAAAAATCATTGTTCGAAAACGACTAAGAAATGAAGCTGATAATTTTTCTCGTTTATCTTTAAAAAAACCCGTATTTGGATTTTCTGTAGCAAATAATCGAAAGTCATTATTCATTTGATAATCAACAACTGATTCTTTTGCTGAACTTTGATTATAAATTTTTAAATGACGTGTATCAAGTGCTGATTCAATAGCTTGAAGAACAGTATCTTGTGCAAGATTAAGTTCATCAAATAATATCCAATGACCTTCTTTAAATGCTTTTGTAAATGGACCTTCAATAAATTTAAATTTACTTGTTTTTGTTTCTTTATCAAATATAAGCATAACTTTGCCAAGAAGATCTTCAATAGTAACACGTGATGACATATTATATCGAATAAGTTCACGATCTGCACGTTTTGCTGCTTCCATAATAGTAGCACTTTTACCTACACCTGTGTTACCTTCGAGTAATATAGGAATTGGATCATTGAGTACTTCAAGTACTTTATCTATATTCTGATTAGTCGTAGCTGTAAGAACAATATAATCTGAATGTTTAACTTCTGTTGATGAACTTGTATTAGTAGAACGTTGTTTTGATAAACGATCATTAAGTAATTTATCGATTGTTCTTTGTTCAGCTTGTTCTAAAGTATTTAAAAATTGTTGTCCATTAACGAAATCAGTATGTTGTACACGAGCAATCTCTAATTTATTTACAGCCTCAGGAGTGAAGAAAAAGTTCTGTTGTTGTTGTTGTTGTTGTTGTTGTTGTTGCTTTTGTAATTGTTGACGAGTACTAGTTGCAAAAATACTTGAATCTTCATCAACGATGAAATTTTGAATATTTTCAATAAGAGAAGAACGTTCTTTTTCAGATAAATCAAGTATTTCACTAAGAAGTTTAATAGATATATATTTTAAATGATTAGATTGACCTAATAGACCCATTAAATCAGGTATATAAGGTGAAAGTAATAAAATAAATTTATTTTTTGATTGTTGTTCAAGAATTTCTTTACTAAAACTAAGTAAATGTGATAAAAAAGATTTTTGAATATTATCATCATCATCATTAATTTGATCGATTTGAGAAAAAAGATTTTCAAGTAAAATTTCAGCATAATTCATTGTATTTGATTCATTTATTTGATCATCATTTGAAATCGATGAAAGAAAAAGAATAATATTTCCAAACGGACTATGATCTTTAAAATCAATTGAAATTAATTTTGATGAATAATTATCAAGAAGAAATTTCGCAATATCTACGTTATATTGTTTATATTTTGATGAACCAACATCAATTAATAATATTATAATTTGAACAATAATTATTGATGATGTTTCATTTAATAACCATTTTTTTAATATTTCATGAAAACAATTTGATTGAAAAAGAATCGAATGTGTTTGACCATTTTTTAATAAAAATTCAATAATTATTAATAAAACAGATACAAATTGTAAACATAATGGATTTTGTAAACATAATAGAAATTTATTGATTTGTTCAATTGTTATATCTCGTACATAAATAGCTAATGTACTTGTTGGATAAATTGATTTGGATATTATATCAAATAAAAATATTTCATTTGGATATTTAATAATACGATCAAACCAATATTCAAGATAATTATCATTTGTACTTTTAGTTATATATTTTAATATAATTAAAAGAGCATCACAATGTTCATTCATTGGTTGTTTATCAGTTTTATTTGTTAAAATAAAATCTGCATATCCAACAATGATATTATGATCAAATTTTTTAATTAAATTTATTTTTGAATATTTGTCAAAAATTGGAAGAAGATCTTTAAGTAAAACATAAAAACAAATATGACCATTGATATATTTTATAGGTGTATTTACAGAAATTCTTTTTATTAAATCTTCAATAAATTCCATTGAAAGTTTTGTTTTATGAAGAATTAATTTTTCTATTAATTGAACTATTTGATTTGAAATATAAAATATTTGTTTTGTATCATTAAATTTTGGCCAAACTTCAAATAAATCAAGAATTAATTTATTTAATTCATTTTCACAATTAATTATTTGCATATTTTGTAAGCGTTCAAATAGAAATTCAATTATTTCATTATTAAAAAATTTTAATTTAATTATATTAGTAAATAAATTCATCCAAGTTGATAAAAAATATTTAACATTAATTAAAACTAAACGTATTTTTTTCAATAATAATAAAATTTCTTCTGAATTTTGACAAACATTCAATGCTTCATGAACAAGTTCATTAACATGTGAACGTCGTGGTACTGTTCCATGGATATATTTATCTTTACGTTCATCTGTCCATTGAACATAAATTTCATTATTTGTTAATGATAAATATGCTTTTTGACCTATGGCTTCTTCATGTACATGTGCATCATCTTGAAGAACATTTTTAATCACTAATGGATCGAAATAAAGTCGCCAAATAGATTCAAAATATTCTGGTTCAATTAAATATTTATGCATTTTACCAAGTCTACTCTCAGTATGTCGAATACATTCTGTAATAATATTGATTAATGCATTCATTTCTTGTCCTGTGCAATCATAAACGTCGAATAATGATATCAAAGGAGAAAGATTATTTGTTGCATCTGGATTTTTCACAAGTCTGAAGAAAATAGATAATTCTTTTAATAGATAGACAGACAGACATATGTTTCATTGCATAATTTAAGATTAGTGAATAGATTATTATCTTTTCTTTTGACTGATATATAACTAATTATTACTATTTGTTCAGAAAAAAAATGATAGAAGAGAAGTATTCGCATAATATTTTTGCATCTTTTTCAGTAATTTTTATAATAATTATGTAAAAACTATAGAAAATTAGCAAAAGAAATTCAAACTAAGGTAATAATTTGAATGGACAGATCTTTCAAAGGTACTGTACATCCATAGATATAAATAAGCTGTTCGTCAAGGCATATAACTCGATTAATGTAACAATAAAAGATGAATTCTTCTTATGAAAAAAAAAAAGGTATTTGAAGAGATGAATATTATTTATTCTGATTCAATCTGATGAATGCTGATCATGAACGTTCAAATAACAAAAAAATAAATGTCATTTGTCTGTCAAGTTTGTTCTATTGGATCCGTTTGAACTCTCTTCAAATGAAAATAGTTGACAACTAAAAAAATATTCCGAACTATGATTGACGATGTTCGAAGAAAACTTCGAGCTATTTTCAGTTTGTTTTTATTTTTTTGTAATGTTTTTCTTATTACAAAAAAAAACAGTAGGGTTATCGATTATAAAATAATTGAATTATAGATATAAATTTTATTGGCAAGACTTTTTCATCGCATATTATATTCAATTTACACTACAATAGTTTATTTCTTCTAGCAAAACAGATAAGAAATTCTATTCTAATTGTTTATGTAATAGTTTTTCAAATAAAAACACTAATGAAAGATTCTCCGAATATGAACAAATAGGAGAAAAATAAAAAGTTTTTCACGGACTAGAAAATAATCTATTCAATTTCTTAATATGATTTTGAAAGAACGACGAAAAATCGTTAATATAAAAGTGTCTCAATTTCGACACATTGTTATGTCGATCAGATATAATTTTATATTGATTCATTGAAAAATCTCTTTTCATCAAATTTCGTAGAAAAATTAACTGAATCCTATATGTAAGCATTTGACAGAGATATTCACGAATTCTCTAGTCAACTCTCCCTAACAAAATTCCTGGAAATTTGCGACATGGACTCCCCGGAAATTTCAAGGGATAGTTCGGGAATTCACTGAGAATTCTTCAGGAAATTACCAGTGAGTCTTCGGTGAGTTCTCATATTTTAACTTAGACAATTCTCCCCAAAAGAATTCTTGGAAACTTCCCGAACAATTTATTTTTTCATCTTTATGAGAAAATCTGTCTGTTTCAAGATGGAAATTTCATTTTTTTCTCTTCGAAATTGTTAATTTTTCATTGTTTTCTTTTTTTCTTCATTAAATTCAATGCGAAGCGTAAAAACTTTCAATTAAAAATGGAAATTTGAATATTCGAATTCAGTATATATATATAACTCAAGATAAATGACAAATAAAAACATTTTGTCAAATAACAATAGTTGCTTATATTTTGTGAAAACTAAAAAAATTTCTTTAACTGGAAAATATTCTTTTATTCAGATCGATATATTTTTATTTGATGAGAAATAATTCGAATTTTTAGAAATTTCTTATTCACCGTCTAACATCTTCATTGTTATCATTTTTGACTACTTCAATAATCTGTTGTTCACAAATTAAATTCATCAAAGGACTTTTAGGTCCATTATTCGGTTTTCGTAGCAACCACCATTCCATAAGTTTGACCATTTTGATTGCGAGTTTCTAAAAGATTAAAGAATAGAGTTATCTATTTATTGTTCTAATTTGTTGGAATTTTATTCTTTTTTTGTGTTTTATACCTTCTGTCCATGTATAAGTGTGCGACTACCATATGGATAAAAAATAAGTCGAAGAACTTCACCAGCTTCTTCTGGACTTAAAGTGTAATTAATTTTTACTAGTTGATCAATAGATCTTTGAGCTGATTGTGGATCACCATCATTTTCGATCACACGTTTCAAACATTCATTTAGACGTGAACATATCGTAAAAATATTGGGTTGAGTCATGTTTAATGATAAACTATTCTTTCATATAATTTAAAAGTAAAATACATTATTTCTAGAAAGTGAGAATAAAAAACAAAAAATAATTGACAAAGAACTAATTAATTATTAAAATAAATAATTCATAATATTTGACAACAATCGAAATTATATTTTTGATTGAAAATTATTAATAAATTGAAAAATTTCAAATATTTTCAACTCAATGTATAGTTTATTTTCGACGAACAGGTAAAGATGCGGTAAATGTTGATCGACTAGGAGTTTCTGTTGTTGATTTTAGAGCAGCTGTTTCTACTTTTGTTTTGGTTTGTTTGTAAAGATTTATGGCTTCTTGTATTTGTTTCTCAGCTATTTCATTTTTCTTGAAATAATCTTGAACAAGAGTAACTAAATTTGTATTTGGCTTGATATCTTCTTTTGATATTCCTTCCGGTAATCCACAGACACCAAGTTTACACGGGTCACCTCCTCCAAAGAATGTCAAACAACATGCCCACATTAATTTGGGCGCTTGCAGTTTTTCCATTGAATCTCCACTAGTAGTAGATGCAATTATTTGAGCTTTTTGAATTTCTTTTTGTGCTTCATCTTGAGATAATTTTTTTTCTGCATGATCAAGATCAACAATATATCCATCATGATATTGACAATTGCCATATTTATTTTCCGAAGAAGTATATGTTCGATGACATTTAGGACATGTTTTAATAGTTTCACCATCGAGACGTTTTTCTTCATCTTCATGTTCTTGTTGAGTTTGTCGAAGAGTTTTCTTAAATTCGATATCTTCAACTAAAAGACTACGAAGCAGTGGATGTTTAACAATCATTACCATCCATTTTTCTTTTAAACTTATACCACTTTTCGGAGCCTTCAAAACAAAAACAAACAAAACGAAAAACCTTATTTTCTTATAAAAAAAGATTTACATTTTCATCAGTTGGTGGTTGTTCAACAACAGCTTTTTTACATTTTTCTCGAATAAATTGATATAAATGTATATTTGATATTGAAACTGATTTTGACACCGATGAATCTGATACACTAAGCATTATTAAAGAATCAATATCAAATATTAACATTGAACGATTATATTCATCACATTCTAAATTAAAACAAAAAAAAGAAAACAAGAATTTCTTTTAGTACAATATATACGGAAGTAAAATAATAAGAAATTCTTTGATTGAAACAATTTCTATTAAATTTTAAATCATTTGTTTATTAGAATGAATAAATGTTAAAGAGAGACGAATTACAACGGATTTAAGTTTAGTGAAATTTTTAATTAATTCATCTTTGAAATTCATATGTTATCATGTTCTCTAATAGTATTAGATAATGATTCATTTAATTACAGTTATTTGTATGTTGTACTTTCTTATATTCTATATATATATATCCAACTATTCATTCTGTATCATTTAATGAATATTTCAAAAAGATTTTGTCATTTATTATTTTGTCTAAAGCTAATGATTTTCTATGAATAAAACGCTTTATGACTCAGACACATATCATTATTTGATCGTCAATCGAGAGTTAACTACTTCGAAATAGTTTCTAAAAGCTGTCGGACATAATCAATTCTACTAATCAAATTCTCTAACAAAATATGTTATCAGCAAAATATGTTTACACTTATTTCTTTAGTAAAATATGACGAAAAATACAAATAGGAAAATCTCTCTAATGTGAACATAATCAGCAATGAACAAAAGTATTGATTATTGAAAAAAATTCAACTGTATATTTTCAAATGATGGTTATTTACTTTAAGGGGAGACTTACCTCCCCTCGATGTTTAGTTTTTTGACCATTTTGTAGGGGCAATAAAGCTGCATATACCCTGAAATTTTTAAGAGAGACTAACTCGTTTTGACCGAGTTAGGGTGTGGGTGCAAGTGTTAAGAAGAGAATGATACCCACATCCGCACATCTTCCTACAGGACGGTTATTTTCATTTACATATTTGATATCGTTAAAACTTGTATGCGCATATATTGAGAAATAGTATTAGTTCATTTAGTAATTCACAAAATCATTCTTTAGCTTATTGACCTATCTTCAACTAATTGCTTGGTTTCTCTAGTCGACTGTCTTTTGAGGAATTCTTGTGGAGTCCTTTAAGGAGAGTCACCTAGTGTTTTTTTTTCTACAATTAGAGCAGCTTCTGAAAAATTTTGCTATAGATTTTATTAGCGTTCAAAAAGTTCCTGACACTGTTAAGAAGAAAATATAGTTAAAGACATAACACAAACTATATCTAAATGTTGCTGATTCGATTAAATATTGCTGATCATGACTATCGTTCGCTCTGAAAATGAATAATAATCGCTGAACTGAATTGTCGTTAATCAAATACTATATGTATCTTTTCTCTATTAATCTTCTATTTCTCATTCTGTACTACAGGACATAAAAATTGCCCTGAAAGTTGTACACTAAATAAACGTTTGTTCTACTTCTACATATGCTGGATTAATAGAGAAAAAAAAGCCAAAATGTAGCACAGGTGCTAACGGAAATTCCACGATGTTCTCTGATATAAAATAATCACGTAAATAATTTGAATTACCTTCGAATGTTGTTGTTAAAAGTTCAAATATTTGATTTTCTTCAAATGCATTATTTTTTATTAAAAAATTTAAATCAATAATTTGAATTGTATCAATATTTCGACTTTGACAACCATTAATAAATCTTGCAATTAAAGTTATTGTTGATGTTTCTTCATTATCTAAATCATCATCAAGTGTTGCTTCTGTTTTTAATTCAATTAAACATTTTTGATCAAGTAAATCAACAAGTATTCGACCAGTTGGTTGACTATTTAATAATTTAAGTGAGTATTTTTCTTGTTGATCAGTTGATAAAAATATATTTGGATAAAGACGACAAATTTCAGGTAATGTTCCAATACCAAACCAACAACTAAATTCTCTAGCTGCATTATCAGCTAAATCAAGAAATATTTTTTCATTTAAGCCTGTTTCTTGATATGTATCCATTGCAACAATAATACTTGATTTAAGTGCTCCGACAGCAGCACCACTAAAATTTGTTGTAATTTTAACAAGAAAATCCATACATTGACTTGTAAAAATATTTGCATCCAAACATATTAATGGTTCAAGCATTTTTTTTCGAATTTGTGGTGATGGTCGACCAACAAAACATTTTGCTTGCATACGACGTAAAAATGCTTCATCCATCATATTTCGTCGATTAGTCGCTCCAAGTACAATTAAATTAGGAATATTTTTAACACCTTCAATATGAGATAGTAAAACACTAATACCATCGACTTTTGATTGTTGAGCATTATTTGTTCGTTTTGGTACAAGACCATCTATTTCATCAATTGTCAATGCACAAATTAAATATGGTATTGTATTTGATCGATACATTATATCAACAAGTAAACGTTCTGTCTCACCAACATATGGACGATTTAATTCTCCAGCAGCAAGAGCTGTTGTTGTCATTGTTATACCAGCAAATATTGCAGCTCGTTTTAATAGTTCAGATTTACCTAAATATAATATTTGTTTCGATTGTTACTATTGATTGATAATAATTTACCTGTTCCTGGTGGTCCATAGAGTAATAATCCTCGTCCGTATTTGACATACAATTTTTTTTGTGCTTCTTTTGGATTAATTTGAAGAAAAATTTCGAGATTTTGAAGTTTTGCATCATTTTCAGCAATTTTATTTTTCTTTTGTCGCATTGGTTCAGTATGCAATATAAGTGCAGCTTGTACTCGTTCAAGTTGATTCTTTACAGTTTCAACTTTTTCAGTCGCTTTGGATACTTGTAATCTAGCCACTTCTCGTTGCCTACTCCAATCTGCCGATGATGTACGTCGATCCAAAGTAGCCGCTGTTGTGTTTAATTTTTCTGCTGCAGTCATAGCAATTTGTTTTTCTTTTTCAACAGTTGTCAATCGTGCAATATACATTTCAACATTTGCTCTTGCTCCTCGAGATTCTTGTTCAAGAACTGCAATTTCATTTCGAAATCCTTCACTTTCTGTTGTTAATCTATCTTTTTCATTATTCCATCCTGTTTTTTGTATTTCATGTGCATCCATATCGACTGATCTATCTTTTAAACAAAATGTTCTTAAATATGCATGAATATTTTTTAAAACATTTCCATCATCATCATAAGTTCGTCGTATTTCAATAATAGCTAAATCAACAGCACGACGATCAAGATAACTAATATGTTGAACTGTTTTTGTAACATAATGGAAATAACGTCGAATTCGATGAATATCACCATATAAAGTTGCATCGGAATCGTTGTAAATATTATTTGATAGATTCAATGCCGTTGCAGGATCATTTAATTGAACATAATCCTTTATCATTTGTTTAACTATATGTTTGACTGATTGAATACTATCCCAGATTCTTTCATTAGCCACTGCATTTCGAAGATGATCAACAGTAGCAATACTTTCCGCTAGGATATTTTATTAAAATAATTTTCAAATACAATAGAATCTGTATTGATCAATAAATAGAACTCGAAGCGTATTTTAAAATTAAAAAAGACATTGTTAGCGCAACTCCTGTACGAATAAAAGATGAAAGACAAAATTTGCCTTTTTAATATTTATTTTCGAATCTCTCATTTACCATTCTGTTGATTAAGTGCAATATAATGCTGCTATCTCGAATCCTTTTGTCACAGTTTGTGAAGAAGTCTGGACCACGAGTATACCAATATGGGATGGTCTCTACAGTCCACTTATAATAATTTCTTTAGTTCATTTATAAATGTTTCTATCAAAGATAGAATCAATATCGATTACTAACCAGTCTTTCTTGTTTATCTTTTTCCTTTTTTATCATATTAATTTATCTAAGATGGAATATAATAAGGAGTTTTGGGCAGACTTTGGCTATATTAGATATGCTTGTTCAGAATTGGAACTGATACTCATTCGAAATTTCAGATCAACATTGGTCATCAAAAATCTAGATCTGTTCTATGTCTAGTCTTTATAGTCTGTCTATGAGAAATGTAGAACAATATTCTGTATGCTTGAACATCATTTTGAATTCATAATTTAAAACTCTCATTTGTTAATATTCTACCTTGAAAAGCTTGTATCCAAGCCGGAATACAATCTTCACTACGTTGATTTTGCCGACAAATAATTTTAAAAAGGCCTCTAAGAGTAACATCGTCTTTTTTGCCGGATAATTTTGTTGGAACTTGAATTATCGTTGCATTAGTCGTATTGTTTTGATACTCTTTGATAATTTTTACTTGAACTATTGTTGTTGGACAAGTTTTCCATATAGGAGGAAATTGTTTTCGATCAGATTCTCCACATTGATATTCGAGTGAGAGAAGTGTTAGTAGATAATTAAAATTCCAAGGTCCAAATGCATCATTTTTTCGTGTAAATAAATTTGGTTGATAAGTAAAACGTTCTTTTTGATTACTCATATCGATTGATTCATGTGTTGATTCAAGTACATATTGATGAAGTGTTGAAAAATGTTGTCCATTTTGACCTTTTGAAAGATATTCATTTGGCATCATTAATTCTTTGACTAATGCTTCAACATGGTTATCTTTATCATATTTAATATTAACATTTAGAATAATTGCATTTAGAATAACAGGTTCTATTGATAGAGGTTTTTTTGATTTATTAGTCTTTGATGGTTCTTTTACAACTGGATGTGGTATAAATTTAACATCTTCATCACCAGAGCTATCATCTGACATTTCTATAATTTCATAGACTATTATCTAGAAAAAAGAACCTACGGGCAAATATTGATTTTTATAAGATATTAAAAAAACAGAGAATAATATATAGACATACAATAGTTATTGATTTTTTTTCATGAATAAATTCTATGAGACATTACATAAAATTAGAAAAAAGAAAGAATACATGAAAATGAGTTACAGTATTCGATTATGATTAAATATTGCTTAATCTGTTTCTAATCTGGTATTTAATTTAACCGTTAAGTATTTTTGTTAGCTATTTTATTTGTATTATTCACTGTATTTGGGTTAATAACTGCTACACCAACGGCTTGTTTTGATTCAGCAATATTATGAATTTTTGTTGTATGATCTTTTTGTAGTTCATAATGATGTTGTTTTAATCCAGTCAGGTTTTTTTCAATTCTTTCAAGTCTTTTATAATTCGCTGCTTTCACGTCTTCATTTTGATCGTAATTTTCATGCATTCTATTGAGTTCTTCTTTTAATTCATTGAATTTTTTTTCATTTCTAACAATTTCTTCATCTACATTTTTAATATTTGTTTTCAATGTAACTAAATCATTCTTTGATGTTTTCATTGCTCTTTGAGCATTTTCATATCGTAAACGCTGAGCATTGAGTGTACCTCGGACAGCTTCAGTTGCAGTTGTGTTTTCACGAACTTGTTCTGTTTTATTATCTAATCTTTCTTTAATATGCTTTGCATTTGTCGATAATCGTTCACTTCGTTGATTTAACATTTGCGCATTTTGACGAAGAGTTTCAACTTTATTATTTTGAGCTTGGTATTTTCGACGTACTTCACGATTTTGATTTTCAGCATTGGTCAATTCAGTTTTAGCTCCTCTGAGTTCTCCATTGAAAGTTTTTTTTTCATCATTCAATCGTTTTTTTTCATTATGAATATTTTCCAAATAGATTTTATTCGTCTTCAATTCTTCTGTCAATTGTTTCAGACTTGCTTGTTTAGTTTCGATAGTGGCTTTTAAATTATCGACTACTTTCAATCCATCATCGAGTAATTCTTTTTGATAAGCCATTTCACGAACTTTTGCATTTTCATCATTCTTTAAAGTACCTTGTAATCGTTTTAAATTTTCACTTTCACCTTAAAACAAAAAAAAAGAAAATTTCGATATGAACGTGATATAAAAGATGAAATTTTTTTCTATTAACAATTTTACTATTTGTTAATTTGTGAATAATTTCTTATGTTCAATTCGAAATTTATGAAATTTGTAAAACAAAGATTTCTAAATTAATCTAATGTCCAATTTCATTTATTTTTGAGAAATTTCAAATCTTTATTTTACATTAGATAAAATCTAAGAATAGATACAGAAAGACAATTCAAAATTTTCATGAAGCATTTTTACTAATATGAATGCATCATTTATGTACATTACATCAGAGTCGTAATGGGTAATGCTAAACAGCAAGTCAAGTACGAATTTTTACATATTTCACTCCAAAACAAAATGGATATAAAAGTATATTCTTTTTATATATTAAACACTTTTTATTGATATTGAAGTCTATTTTTGTAAAAAAATTCCATTAAACCAGCGGCGGATCAAGAATTCCAGAAGGGGTGGAGGGGGTTGTGATTTTTCGTATATGCCTAAGATAATATTATTATTTTTTTTTGTTAAACATCCGGAAACAATATAAGTTCTATGTCATTAATCATAACATTATTTTATTAATAATTTCAGCTAAAACAAACAAAACAAACGCATCCTGTTCTTTTCTTTTAGTCGTGTTAAAAGAGATTCGATTTGTTCGTTTTTATATGAATACATATAAAACATCGATGGGAACATGAATAATAACTAGTAACACATTATGAATGCTTGGCTTTTTTGCATCTAAGGTTCTTTTTCATCAATTACTTCATTTGATTAAAAAAAGAAGAAACGAAATATTACACAACGTTCAACTAGAAAAGTTGTACAATTTATAAGAAAAAATTTTACGTTATTATGAGAAGACATAACTCGTTTGTGTAAAAATTCAATTATTTTTGCGCATTGATGAGAGTTGATTATGTAGAATTTTTTCTTTTTCTAAGAACAAAATTTTAATTAGTTCCATGTTGTAGATTAGAGTTTTTCACATTGCATTTTTTCAGATATTTCTTTTTTTCAATCAAATGAATTAATTCATGAAACATTGAGATATAAAACACGATCTTTCATTATCCTACATCGGTTAATTTTAGGGTGACCGATCAATTCGTCGCAGAGAAAGGAAAGAGTATATTAATTGAATTAAGTGATTTCGTTTATTTTGTTTTTCAATTAATCACCTCAACAAAAATGTTTTCACTTAAAATAATACGAGTATTTTTTGACTGTATTTTTTTATTAAAAAACGATAGAAATTTCGATTTACAGTTTATTTATTTTAATTTAAATGGACTAAAAATAAATTTTAACTCGAAATAAAATTCTACAAACTTTAATTAAAAATAAATTTAAATTTTTTGCATTCAAATGTTATATAAATATAGTTTTGTACTTAAAAAGTTATTTTTTTGTTAAACTGGATTTTTTAAAAAATTACATTTTTAAATTTAAATTTTTAAAAATTTATTTCTTGAGATAATAGATCTTGTTAAAAACTTAATACGTCATTTGTAAAAAGTGATTTGTAAAGAATACTTAAGTTATCAGATTTAATCCAACTATTCCTCTAATGTTCGCAACATCGAAACTTAAACACCCGTTACGAAAATTTTGAAGACTACTTTATTCAAGGATTAGGCTGCTTTTCAGATCACGGAAAAACTATTTCTTAAAGTACTGAGCGAATCATATAGATCAAGAAAGAGCAAATTTTGCCTGCATTTCTTCTTGAATTTCTTACCTCAAGATTTCCTCAGAAGTCTCTCCATAAAGGACTCGATTTCAGTCTCATTTAATAATAAACTATTTGCACTGTCACAGAAGAGCTTTTTAAGTAATTTTTTTACGCAACTAAATCATTTGCTTATTGGAACTGAATCTACTATCCATGATGCAGATGTGATCATCTTATAAAACAGTATGTGTCAATAGAACTTAGAATTTAGGAGAATTTAAAATTGCCCTAGGAAAAACCGAAATTTGAATTTCTACTGCAGGAACGCTTCAAATTTTCCTATAAAAAAAATTAAAATTTTTATATTTTCCAACAGAATTTTTATTTCTATTGTAACATACACATTTATGTGATTAATTGAAAAACAAAATAAACGAAATCACTTAATTCAATTAATATACTCTTTCCTTTCTCTGCGACAAATTGTCGTGCAACGAATTGTATTGCGACGAATTGATCGTGCGACGAATTGATTCCGACGAATTGTTCGCGACGGATTGTCGTGCGACGAATTGTACTAGTACCAATTTTAGATATATTCTATTTAATAACGGTGAATCCATAAAAACCTCATAAATGAATTATGAACGAAACAGAAAGACATTTATCGAATTCATATGATCCAATAAACATTTCTAACTGTAAAATATAGTTTTTTTCTAGCATACAAAATTTTCAAAGTAGGTATAATCGTCTCACAACACCTTCCCTAAATCCGCTACTGCATCAAACTTCGTTTTAGTCACAATTCATCACAATTTACTTAGTATGTTTTAGTAGTTCATTTTTTATGTTATCATTGCAGGACTAAATAATTCTTCAATACGATATAGTGTATCAAAGATTTTCTTGTATCTCATTTATTATCTTTCAAATACATATCTCGCTCAAATATGAAAGACAAGAAAGATAATATGCCGTATGAAACAGTTTAAATGTATAGTTAACTAATAATGTTCATATGTGACGAATAATTAATAAATGCAGAAAGTTACTAGAGAATTCCAAGTGTTATGAAGTTTTTTTGTTCACTAATAGACGCTACTTCATTTGTATAGGGTCGGAAATATGAACAACTAGCGAGAACCCGTGCATACTGCACGGCTGTTTTGTCCTTTAACGCATGACCTCAGACATTTAACTTTTCATCCGGTAAAATACATACAGACACTCGATATTATGTATATAGATA